TCATGGACTATCTTTACGAAGATCTAAGGTGTTAAGTGTCTCTGGCTCTAGTCTCAAGTGGTCAAAATCTATGGAGCAAAGGTCAAGGAAGGCTGCTGAGGTTCGTCCAGCTGCACCCAGGTTTATTTGGGGTTGTAAAATTTGCAAGTGGATGTAAGAAATTTTGTAAAGTGAAAGCCTTTTCGCAGGAAGCTGCGCTAGCTGTTGCTGCTGTTGACAAAAGGAAAAGGGGACAGGATGATTCTAATGCTGGCTCAATGAATGGAAATAATGTCTCTCGTAAGTTTTATAGTGTAAAGCTGCTCCCAGGTAGGCCAGTTCTCTATCCTGGTGTGGCGTATTCATTTTCTTTCAACTTTCAAGTTTCTCGAAATATTGTACAAAGTTATTGGACGCCTATGTATCAGTTATGCCCTTTTAATACTTACCAAAGAATGTTATGTCCTCTTTATGTACCCTTTCAGAATGTTGTACTCTTTTTTAATTGAGCACTATGATGGTCTTCTAACTTTTTACAGGAGAAAGGATATTCCGTATTGGTTGCGAGCGGTATAAGATGGACCCTTCTGGGAAGACACTACAGAGAATTTCAGGTGGTCTTCTCCTGATTTTGCTGAAATCTTTTTCTTCTTCCCACTTTTTTTTTAATTTAGTTTTTTTTTCAATGATGATTCACATTTGTCACTTTTGTCCTATAAGTGTTGCTCTGAGAATTAAGTTCCTTTAAGTTATCACTTCTAGTTCCGTACCTGCAATATGATTTTAGAGGATGCTTTGGTTTTGGTTGTGATAGTCAAAGCAATTTGCAGTAGGTCTTAGATGGTGTTTGGCTAAGCTAAAGCTTCCTTGGCTAATAAAAACCTGAAGGGGGACAAGAGACTCTTTGTTTTTTAAGCCTCTTTGGATTGGAAAATAACTACTGGACTTTGATTTATAAATATGGAGAGGTTAACAATGTATATGCATAAATTGATAGACATGACCCATTTCTCCCCAAAACCCATCTTTTCTGATTACCGTTACAGCAGAACAGACCAGTTGGCATGGTCATGTGCTCTCAATATCTGGAATACAGAAGATCACAGGTTTCCAAAGTTTCCTTTTTGCATCTCTTGCTAGCCCTTTTATTTCTTTGTGCCTTTGAAAATTAAAACTAAATCATGTAGGTTACCTGATTCAAGAATGAATAATTGGAACTTCAATATAAGTGGATTACCTCCAACCTTGCAGCATGTACCTTTGCTGTAAAAAGTAGATATTCATGTCACTGAACAAAGAAAGTATCAATCACCTGTTACTGCACTGTCCAGTTGCCACAGATCTTCGGAGTACGTTCTGCTTTTTTTTTTTGTTGCCTTTCTCGGGTCATGCCTTTTACCGTCAAGGATGCCCATGAAAGCTGGAGTTTATGGACAGTTGACAAAGCCATCAAGAATATCTGGAAATGATCTCGGGTTGTATTTTTTGGTGTTTATGGACCGAAAGAAACAGTAGATGCTTTGATGGAATTTCAACTCCCAACAATTCTAGACTAGACGTCTAGTTGGTCTATTTAGCCGGTCCAAGTTAACCTCTGTAAATAACTTAGAGCACTTCCGGAATTTTGTTAGCTCTTTAGTCTAGACAGTAGCTATTAATCCTCTTTGTGATCTAAAAGCTATATCTGTTTAATCTTTTGCTTCTAGATTGCTCTTTGATGAAATCACTTGCTTCATAAAAAAAAGAGCAGATATTCATGTTCAAAGATAGTTGTTGAACTTAAAAGTTACTACTAAAAATGTTTCAACTTAGTCATGTTCTAGCTGGGTCTAAGCTATTAGAGAACCTGGTTGCTCATGGAAGAACGCTGAAATCCAGTTTGAATGGTGCATTTCTTTGGTACAACGCTGATGTATAGCTCATAGAAGAGTTGAATTGCTCAGATGAATACAAAATGTTGATGGGCATGCGTTCTGTGTGGAGGATTAGCCTTCTCAGTTGTGCTGATTAATGATGAAAAACTATTAGATTTGAGCTATCACTTGTCAGTGGACTTGTTTTAGTAAAATGATTGTGGGTACATGATTCTGAAACGATCATGGCATGGATTAGCTAGAAGATTCTGGTTTCTGTTGAGGCAGCAAGAAAATAAGCAAGAGGTCAACTTAATAGGCATTTAACTTTTCCAATTCCAACTGAAGAAAGATGATAGTGGGGACTATTAGTTTAGAGAAAGAGTAAAATGACGAAATAATCTACATTCACATTTGTTTTGATGTCTTATCAGAACCTATAATTTCTAGAAAAGAAGTTACTCTGCTATTTTTAAACATTAGTTATGAACTTTGAGAAGGGCGTTTCTTTTCTTTTAATTTTAAGAGTGGTTTTGGTGAATATTTTTAATTTGTTTCTTGTAACTGTCTCTTGACATTATTTGTAACTTGACCTCGTAAACTTCTCCATGTTTTATGGACAGATGAGGAACCGTCGGTGTCAGTTGGTCCTGAGGCGAAGAAATCTTACATCCCCAAAAGATTATTAATTGGGAATGATGAGTACGTATAAATACTATTGTTTTTCAATTCATTATCAATGATGTACCTAGTGCTGGTTAATCTTCAGGCGTTGAGTTAGTATTTTTTTATAGGTATAGCTGTGAGATTCATTTGCATAACTTTATTTTGAAATCGCATATTGCTTCGAGCAGTCTGTAATTCTTGGTACTTAAGCGTGTTGCTTCATATCATAATCTTTTCTATTGGATTTTATCTAATCCGGAAAAAATAGGAGTACTCCAAAAGTAAGGCCAATAGGAAAAGAATTATTTAAAAAACTATGGTCTTACTTCCAAGAGATGAAAATAAGATACTGATATAAATGCTTACTGTGAATAAAACTTTGCCTTCACTTGTAAACAAATAATATAAATGCTCGAAACTGCTTGTAGGTATGTGCGGGTTGGCAATGGTAATAAGCTGGTTAGAAACCCAAAGACGCGAGTACGCATCTTAGCGAGTGAGAAAGTACGCTGGAGTTTGCACACTGCTAGAATTCGGTTGGCAAGAAAAAAACAGTATTGCCAGTTTTTTACAAGGTTTGGCAAGTGTAACAAGGATAGTGGAAAATGTCCTTACATTCATGATCCATCTAAAATCGCTGTCTGCACTAAATTTCTGAATGGTTCTTGCTCTGACACTAATTGTAAATTGACTCATGAGGTATGTTACTTCTTAAACCCTATAATTGACGTGGTTGCAGCATGATTAGTTTTTGCCTTTTTACTTGTTTTCACCTCATATATTAGGTTCTTCCTGAAAGAATGCAAGACTGCTCCTATTTTCTGCAAGGTCGGTGCTATTACATTTATGGGTGTTATTATATTTTAGTTCAGTTTAATCTAAAGAAATGTGAGAACACTAACTTGTTTTTTTTTGGGCAGGAATATGCTCAAATGAGAATTGTCCATATAGACACGTAAATGTGAATTCAAATGCCTCTATTTGTGAAGGTTTTCTCAGAGGCTATTGTGCTGATGGCAATGAGGTATTCCTTGTTTTCAGTTTGCTGCTTCCAAATGAATCAGACCAACTGTATTATACACATCTCAGAGGATTGAAATTTGACTTAGATAAGCTCTTTAATAGTAGCTCACAGCCAATTTATGCCAGGTGCCACGTAGAAATTATTTAAGTTACAAGCAGTGTCTGGATGCTCAAGCAAAGAAGGTCTTCTGAAGTTTATATTCTTTACCCAGTTTTAATGTTTGATTGGTTCCTAGACAAAGGTCCTATCCTATGCTTAGAACTTAGCTAGTCCCTATCCCTAACTTGTTTAAGATGTAACGAGGCTAGTCTCCGCACCTCCCCCAGAATGTAGTAGTTGGGTGGACCCCTCCCGACCCTTTCTTGTCGTTCTTTTTTGAAATGGCTCCTTGATATGACCATTTTTTACTGCCTGACATGATTTTTACCAAATGTTTTGACTTATTATGTCCACCTCTTTTTCTGCTTCCTCCCTCCCCTTCTGTTGGTTTGAATGCAACTAGCTCATTATTGTTAGTATATTTTCTGCACAATAGATATGTGGATCTAATCTTGAAACTTGTGAAACGGATCATGTTTCTAACATGCAGTGTCGGAAGAAACACACCTATGTCTGCCCTGTTTTTGAAGCAACTGGCAACTGTCCCCAAGGTTCGAAATGCAAGCTTCACCATCCGAAAAACAAAAGGAAGGGTGTGAAGAGGAAAGCTTCCAGCGAGATGAAGAATGGTCGAGGTCGTTATTTTGGCTCTCCGCACATAGACAGTAGTGAGCGTATAACAGCTGGATCAGAGAAAGCTTCTGTTAGGGGGAACAACGACATATTCTTTAAGAAGGGGAAGTTTGTTGATTTTATTAGCCTAGATGGCAGTGATGAAGAGGAACTGACTATTGACCAGAGAAGTGAGGAACCGCCACTTTGTGAAAGTGGTTCTGCAGAGATGCAACTAGATGATCACGATGAGCTTATTAAACCCATGAAGCTGATAAATAGGAATAGATCTGTAGATTCATCTCCCTTCATAGATAGCCCTAGTGATATGGCTGCAAGCTATGTATCGGAGGAGTCTCAGTGTTGTAAATGAAGTTATGTAGTTAGGTTTATTGTAGTGTTTTGCTAGCGTAGAGCAATTTTTTTGGTTTTCAAACTTTAGGTTTTTAGTTAATTACTTAGGTATAGGTCTTTAGGATTAGGCAATATTTTGTACCACAAAGTGTGTTGTGTGCGAGATAACGAGAGAAACTGTTGTGATAAAAAATTTAAGGCAATGAAATTTTGATTTAAATCTCTCATCGGATGGTTTTGCTTTCAGTTCTTTTACCTTTCAATGTTCTCAGACTACAGTTAACAAGAAACCCAAGTAAATTGAATTCCCATACTATTTTTTCGTGCGTTTTATATTACTCACTAACCAAACCTTCAAAGTTCAAACAGCGTAAATAAGGAATCCGGAGCTGCAAGGTAAGTACAAAATAGAGGAACTTGTACTTCACCTTTTATCTCCATATTAAATACAGCCACAGAACCAAAAGAAAAAACCCAACATGCAAACAAGCATTTCTTATCCACACAAAAATGAGAACATATCAATATCCTAATACCAACACTCGAGAAAAAAACATAAAAAATCACAGAATAAAAAAGGACCCCAATAGAAAGGAAAAAAAAGCCCTTAGCCATGGCAGCAACTTCAACACACATGGCTTCAACTCATTTCAGCATGTTAAGTTATTGGACAACAATGGGAAACAAACAGCTCAAAAGAAGAAACTTTTTCTCAGTTTCAGCACAGCAAGCAGAAGTTGAAGAACTAAAAGTAGAAAAAGATGAAGAAAAGAAAGAAGAAGAACAAGCAATGAAACAGCCAAGGCCAGTGGAACCACAGATAAATGTGAAGAGCAAGAACATGAGCAGAGAATATGGAGGACAATGGCTAAGTTCTGCTACTAGACATGTTAGAATATATGCAGCATATATTGATCCTGAAACTTTTGCTTTTGACCAAACACAAATGGATAAACTTACACTTATCCTTGATCCTACTGATGAATTTGTTTGGACTGATGATACTTGCACCAAGGTCTACTCTTACTTCCAAGAACTTGTTGATCATTATGAGGTACTTTCTCCATTTGAAAAGAGTATCCTTTTTACAAAGACTTACCAGGGGTGGCCCGACGAATTTTGTGCCCTAAAGCCAAACTTAACGAGGGGCCTTAACTTTTTAATTTTTTTAATTATTTATTTGAAGTCTATTTTTTTTTTTTTTTTGCTTTTCTTAGATACAAAGTTATTACTCCCTCCATTTCATATTAAATGAGGTACTTTTCTTTTTAGTCTGTTCCAAAACAAATGACACATTTCTAAATTTGGAAATAATTCAATTTTAAACTCTTCATTTTACCTTTTTGCCCTTAATGAGAAGTTTTTATAGCCACACAAATGTCATGGCCCCACAAACCTTTTACCCCTTAAGCTTTTAAGACCACAACTTTCAAAAGTCTTCTTCTTTTTTCTAAAACTTCGTGCCGAGTCAAATTACCTCAAATAATATGAAACGGAGGGAGTAATAATTTTCTTATAATCAATAACTCCTAATAAGTATTTCTCAATTCACAATATAGCTAATCAATTTAACCTTTCTTGTGACATTGTTGTTCTTAGATAAGATTTTCTTAATTCTAATTTTGAAAACTCCTTTCCGCTGAAGCAACGGTAACATGAGTTATGAACATTATTCCATAATCAATTTATGCATTTGGAAAAGAATTCTTTCTTTTTATTCGATTAGGTATATCAATTAAACTGTTATCTTCTAATTGTATTATTTTTCTTAATACTTTTAATTCAGAAAAAAAATCTGAACCATCAATATCGAATTGATTATTATGCTTTAAGGAACATTCAAGATTAAGGTAATATTTTTTAATTTCCAACATCTAGTGATCTTAGTTTTTACTGCCAAATAGAAAATCAAAAATATTTTCATACGCTTCGAATTGTTCAAATCTATTTTGAAGTGAAAAAATAGCCTTGTCTATTATGTATAAAAGTAATCAACTTTAAAAGACTCTTCGAAAGATTTTGAGATTTCATTATCAACATTCGCATCAAATTGTTACTTCCTATATATCACACATTTCTTATGAAATTCGGGTTCGATATTCATTTCAAGTGCAATTTCCTCGGTAGAATCATAGCAGTTGCAATTTTTCTCTATGTTTGTTAAAGAAAGAAATCAAACTTTTTCACTTTACAGAACTCTTTTTCAAAGCTATACATAGTCTATTAGGTGTAACAAAAAAGGGCCCCCCGCAAATATGGGACCTAAAGCGGTTGCTTTAGTTGCTTTATGGAAGGGCCGCCCCTGGGACTTACTTATATATATACTGATAGTGTAAATTCTTCTACACTATTACAATATTTTAGCCTGTTGTTAACTTGCAGGTAAATTATTTGTAGGTTACTAAACGCTCTTTTTGTGAACAATTATATATTATTATCTTTTAAGTGATTTGAGTGTGTAGAAGTTAAACTCAATTCTAATACCATTTTTGTTTCAGTGTATTTGTTTTTATGGGAATATTTAATGGAACTTTTCGTGTTAATGAGCCATTAATAATGATAAATATTTCAGAGTTTTAATCAAAACAATTAAAGCTCAATTTTCAAGAACATGTTTACTATGAGGTAAATTTTCTTCATTTGTTGCCGTTTTTCTAATTTGAATCTTTTCCTATAAACACCGTTACTTTTCAGAGAGTTGACTCTTTATTCAAAAACAGTGAAATATTGACTCATATACTTTACGCTATTTGGAAAATTAATTCAAAGACATATCTTATCCACTCAATACAGTCTAACGCTATTTTCTTGTTGAGCCACAGATTTGTATCGTCTTCTTCTTCTTCTCTATTTTTGTGCCTTAACCTACGTCTTTGCTGCATTATGTAACAGCAAGACTCCAGAAGAGTTACAGTATAGACACGATATTTCTTTTACCAAAAAAAAAAAAAAAGCAATGTTGCATTTTTTAGTAAGAAATTCGCAATAAAAGAAAGTCGTTGATAGGAACTTCCTTAAGATGTTATAAAAGACTTGATAGAGTACTACTAAAGCGTAAACTCTAAAACTTCAATGCTTTTATGTAATCACTTTGTTTACCAAATTGAGATGCTAACTCCAATGTTTCACTCTGGACCAGGGAGCTCCATTGACGGAATACACGCTTCGCCTGATCGGTTCAGACATAGAGCACTACATAAGAAAGCTTCTATATACTGGAAAAATCCAATACAACATGAATGCAAAAGTTCTTAACTTCAGCATGGGGAAACCAAGAGTTGGGTTCAATTACAATGGCCAAATGGAAGATGTAAACCAGTAAATTCAGGTAACAACGTTGACTATATTGAAACAATGAGTAGCAGAACCAAGTTTTAAGAATGTAAATGAAAATTTCACCTTCTCTTCTAAGTATGTATATGATCTTCTCTATGTCTGTTTTCAACACTTACCCCACAAAGATAATGCACAGCAAAATTGTCCTCCGCTAGTAATTGAAATAGTAACCTTTGATTCTCTTCTTCTATCGCTTTGTTTTATGGCACACGGCGGTATTGATGAATGGGAAAAAGTAACAACAACTTCTAGGAAGATCCAGGCATTGTTCGGAGACACTCTGCATCCTCCCAAGGCATGAACGCATCTTCCCGAGTTAGATGCTGGAGATATTGAAACAAAATGTAATTTTAGTACAAGTCACTAGCTTCTTGCAGAATGAGTAAGAATGTAAAAGAAAATAATGAATGTGAAAATGTCATGAGCGATGAGGCCATAATACTCCCTTGGTCCTTGTTCTCGTTCCGTTGGTCCATATTTATAACTAACAAACTCCTATTGGCTCAAACCTCATATAGACATCAAAACTTTGACAATGATACAGACATAGAGATTAGATCAGTCATCCTTATTGATCCTTGAAATTTTGGAGTCCAAAAAGTAAATTTGAGCAAGTCGAGTAGTTTTTCATGGTTTTTTGAGGTCAAAATGCAGCACTTCATAATTTAGAGGCAAAATGTCTGATAGGACGACAACAACCATTGATTCGAGGAATTTTGGAGGCAAGTGGTTTGGTGGGAAAAGGGTACTTTCTACTGTGTTTTCCATTAGGGACTGGGTGTGAGGAGATCCGCATGTATGGTAACTGCAAGGATCACCTTACACACTGAAAGAAAGGGAGCCTTCATTGAAGTCAATCTTTGGTAGGGAAAACATGGATTTGTAAGGTCCCTCTCCTTTCTGGATGCTGGCCATTAACTACTATACTATCTTGGTCCTAGAAGCTAATCTCTCTTTTTCCATCATTACCTTACCTCCTTTTTCATGCAATAAGGTTTATGTACTAAAGGCATAAAAAGATTTACAAAATCAGGTCATTTAAAAGGCGATTGCAGGTAACTCTATTTAATAAGAATTGATTCGTGATAAAAAATAAATGGTATGTAACCTGCTATAATAGGTTAATTACCACTGACAGTGCAAGACTTCTTTACACTCTCAGTGGATATAACTTAAATGTATTTGTTTTTATTCATGATGCAACATTGAGCAATGAATGATCCTTATCTGCAATTTATGGGGTACTTTGGTCTTGGGCATGGACTTCTGCTCAGGACTACATAGACAGCTCTCGTTTCTTCTGTACATCTCATGAGAAAGTAAGGGCTTACCAATAACTGTAGAGCTATCATAATCTAGACAAGCTAATGTTTACAAGTAATCCAAAAAAGGAAAACATGTGATTAGAGCCTATAGAAATTTCCTAATTACACAATTATATGGATCCAAATTAACAAGGTATAGATTCTTGTTATGTTTACATATTCTGGTCATATTAAAGACCTGCAATACCCAATCTATAACATCATAAACAAGTTGGAAGCTGCAATAAGTTGCAGTCTAGATAAGACAAAGTTCCCTCAACTCTTTGAGGATTACCAATTTCTTTTGTCAAAAGTAAAGAAAATTGTTGGTGTATCTAAGATTTTAAGCACATGATCACCTTTTGTAACAATCCCTCTGATGAGGAAGGTCCTTGCTTTCGCTTACACCACAAAATTTGCTATGAAAAGGATATCTTTGCAGATTATTCTAACAGCTATAAATCATCAAGACCGATTGCCCAGTACATTCTTTTCCATCTAACAGTTTCTTAGCTTCATACCTCTTTTGGCTCATTACCATATTCCACCTACTTATTGGAAACATATATACGAGTTTAATATCACAATCAATTATTGTGAGAATTCATATAGCTGACACGTAGTACTAGGACTGACATGTAGTAATAGTTGTTGTTGTATATGGAATTTGCTGCATTTCCACACTAATAGACACTTCCCATGCTAAGAGAAAAATTAAATGTCTAATTTCTTAAATAGATCAGTTTACCTGCAAGATTGCAACAATAAAATGAAGCAAAAGACAAAAGACAGATGAAAGGGGACGGGGAGAAAGAAAAATTGTTACTGTTCTTTACCAAGGACATCCAAGAAGAGGTAGCCCTCACCTCTAACCAAAAGAAAAACCCACGCATAATATTCAACTTTTTATCTTTGTCATGATTGGTCCTTTTGATTTCTCGATTGACACCTGCATTTTTACAGTGAAAATATATTGGAAATTCGTTGTTGATATGAAAATCACATGACTGACTTGGGATACGAACTGGCGCAGCGAATATCAGAACTAGCAATATCAATAGCAAATATGGAAGTAGAAACTAGAGAGAAATTCAACTAAACAAGCAAACAAACTTGTTTACTTCTCTTCTAAACAAAACTAACCAAAACTACTAATTAGGTAACCCGTAACTACTTGTGTTTTAAAGTAACTAATA